AGGTGCCTGCCGTCACTCTCCTTGTGGCCCCGCGGGCGAGTGTGGGGTCGCAGGGGCGGCAAGAAGCACGCCGTATTGTTTGCAGCAGGGCGACGGTGTACATCCCCTCCTCGAGGTCGCTCATGGCACCCAACGGCGACCCAACTCCGCCTAGCGCTCTCTCTCTCTCTCTATAAGCAGGCGCCACGCCCCCCCCCGTCCTCTACCCCCGCACAAGAAGGTGGCCGCGGACTCCAAAACATAATTGGGCTGATGGGATACGTATCCCACGATGTATATACAAGGCCAGGGAGACTGGCTCTCACCGGCCCCACTCGCTCTGGGAGACGACATGGAGAGAGAGAGAGAGAGAGAGAGAGAGAGAGAGAGAGAGAGGAGTAGATGAGAGGGAGAGGGTGAAGAGCGGCATCGCCGGCCACTCACTCCCCGGCCCGGCCCCGGCGGCTACATGAGGGCGGAGCAAAATAAGTAGCTCGATGGGAAAGAAAGTCGGTCGGGCAGAAGGGCGAGGCTGGGTGGGGCGCAGCATCACACGAGCATCAGATTATCAACTCGGTTCGTAATGGCCGGCCGTATAATCGCGTTGGCGAACCATCACGGCTGCTTAATAACGTCCACGAGGTTACCGCCCTCCCCGCCCCCTCTCTCTCTCTCTGGTCCAGCAACAACAGCAGCCGGTACACGCCCCGCCGCCTCGCAGTAAGCTGGCGAGCTGGACCGGCCGATAGCGCATATGTCAGGACCACCGCCCCCGGCCACGGCACCTCGCCCCGCCCCACCCCGTCCCGGGCGGCCCGAGCATTATCACCGCGGCGGCCCCGCGCGGGGTCATCACCTCGCCCCAGCCGCCTCCGCTGGAATTCCAGGCTATGCTTCAGTTTCACTCACCCCCCAAAATGTGTACTCAATTCAAGATGATACCCAAAATTTTAAGGCAAATAGGGAGTAATTTAATCCCTGTTTACCTAATTGAAGTGTAAATAGGGGTTAAAATAAGAACATTTGCCTTAAAATTTTGGGAATTATCTTGAATTAAGAACACATTTTTTGGGGTGCTCCTTTTTAGCAGCTAGAACATTTCACAAGATCACAAGATTGCGGGGGGTCGCCAACTCACCTCAGCAGTGTACGTAGTAATATAGTATTATGTGGTATTATGGCACGTTTTAAAGGATTTTAGGTCATATTATTTGGTATTATGAAGTATTATAGACTACCATCAGGTACTATGAGGTATTATGGGGCTATTACGGGGTATTTTGTGACATATCATTGATTATAAAGGTATTATGGGACCAGTGTACGGAGTAATATGCGAGTTGGCGACCCCTCCCCGCGCGAGATTGTTCCAGATAATTTCAGCATAGGATACCAGGTTTGAGTCCGCGGACTCATTACGCGAGATGAGAATTTCTTTGTCTACAAGAAAAACAAGCAGGCCCGCCCTTCCGCCAAAAGGAGTTGCCAGCTCCGCTTCGCTCCGCGGGCAACTCCGCGTTCGGCGGGGGCCGGGCCTGCTTGGCCTGCCTGCGCCACAGTGGGCTGGATCGGCTTGGTCCAGAAAAAGAGGACATTAATCGAATTTCGAGATCCCTGGCCCGTGTATTTTCCTTTCAAAACCTAATTCCAGAATGTTCAAACTATCTAAAACCTGCAGGTCGCCTTATATTTTTACGTGAGAACGTTCAAAAATACTGTTTCAAATGGTAATGAGTGTTATATTTGACAATATTATATATTCTGAGATAAAGATACAATAATTTTAAGAACATCGTAAAAAACGAGTGTCCATTTTACCACAAAAGTAATTTTGTGCTTTCTTTTCCCGTGTTTTTTTTTTTTTTTTCAAAAAAAAGGAAAAAAAAGAAACAAATGCTGGAGCACTGCTGGAAAATGTAATCTTTGACCCTCTGAACAATTCAGGGACAAAAAAAAGTTCAAAACTAGACGTTATAGGGGCCGTCTAAGAATTATGTCCACCTTTTTTTGGATCCAGCCCTCTGTGTTGCGGCCCGACCATTTCTGTCACGCGATTTGCTGAAGAACATCAAAATCAAATGATGAAACGGGCCTTCGGCCCCCTAAGACCCGTCGTCTTTAAAATTTGCCCCGTACACACGAGAAATACCTTATAATACTATAATACTCCGTACACTGCTGAGGTGAGTTGGAGATCCCTCCAATTATTGTATAGCACATAGTATTTTAAAAATTTGCAGCAAAGTTATTGTTAATAAGCATTTATTATCAACAATCTTCATTTTTTTCTTTTTATTCACTGTAAATTGCGACAATTTGATCACAATTTAGAAGCCTGGAATCACTCAGCAAACTGCTCATTTGCAATGAGACAACGCGGAAACGTCTGAGATGCTTTTTACGATATAAAACATGCTGGATGTCGTCATTCCCAGCTGAAAATCCCGCCGGAAATTTGGCACTTTCCGGTGGAAATTCGCGATTTTCTACGGGTTTTTCCATTTTTCCGCCGGAAATGACGATCCCA